CTTCTCTTAGGTGTCGGCGAAAGGGAAATCGTTGTCGAACCTGCAAAACGGCAAACTTTTAAAAAAAAGAGCTGACCAAAGCTCAATTGACCGAGTGCGCGTGATCTGAGACGAATTCTTTATGACCTTATCCTCAATGATGTTGAAATTCACCTCCTACACAATAAAGTTGGTATTCACCTCGTCCTCAATTATGTTGAAGTGGAGAATCTTGAAAGATGTAAAGCTTTGTACAATCCTCGCTACTTTTCGACCAAAGGCTGTGTATTTCGTACTAGTTTCGAATATCTATATTGCGAAAGATTACGATTTGGTGGAAAGGAGGAAGACCCCACAAGAGTGCTGAGTTGTCGGCAAACCACGGGCAGGGTCTCAAACCCCCATCTCGCGCCTTCAGTGCGATTGCGTTCTTTACCGGGACCACTCTTACCCTCTCAGCTCAACGGCCATTGAGCACTCTCATGTTCAACGTGATGGCCGGTCCGCCACGGCGGAAAAAGACATCCTCCCGCCAAGAAGCCAGATTCCCAGCCTGATGTTTCTGTGTGAAGCTTCATCGAAAAGGAGCGAAGAAAGAGGAAAGTCTTCACTTAGGACATTTTTCGAATTCACTAGTGCATGAACCGAGGTGAGATGTCGATGGACGCCGTGCCGTGGCTTCCCCTCGAATTCCTAATTGTGCCATATACCTTTCCGGTAAAATTTATTGCTCGGGATTTATTGGAGTAGATACAATAGATGCAAATTCGTCGGAAAGCCCATACTTTCTGGCTTACCTTTATATGGAACCTGTAATATTTATCTTGGTTACCTTAATTAATTATCAGGTCAGCAGTTCGATGCGATTGGTAACCTACGCGACTGGTGGGACGCAGATGTCAAGAAAAAGTTTGTGGAGCGAGCAAAGTGTATAATCGGTCAATACAATAAAATTGAAGTTAGTTTTGGTCAAGGTGGTAAAGCGATAAGCAGTTAATTGAGCTGGAATAAACTTTCACAGGTACCAGGTACTGGGCTGACTGTCAATGGCAAACTTACCCAAGGCGAAAATATTGCCGACAATGGAGGAGTGAAGCAAGCATTCAGAGTAAGTTACTCGTCTGCACACCGTCCTGATATTCTTTGTGAAGAATCTCCCTTGTAAAAACTCTCCTTCCTTCCTTCAGTTCTCCTTCCTCCTCCAGAGCCTCCAGTGGCAGATGAACCGTGGTAATCATTGCTCACGAAAGGGAGCCAAGGTTTCACATTTGTGCGATAGAAGGCCATCAAGGTGTCTCCTTGATCACAAAGCCCCGTAGAGCGGTTCGCGAAAAAAAAACAGAGCCTTCGCATTTGGCAATGTGCAGAAGCCCTTCTCAGATCAGAAGGCGCAGACCACAGGGGCAGAAAATGTCCCACATATTCGGCTCGGAATTGCTTAGATGGAAGGGCAACCGCGCGACCGAGGCGCTGCCGTCGCGAAGTCTGAACGCTGCCTGACCGCGTCAGAACTCCGCCATGCTCTATTTTCTTCGCCTCTCTCTTTTTGGTTCCCACAATCACCATTTCCTTCCACAATCACTGTGTGCAGTCTCCATAAGTTGTGTATTCTCTTGCAGTTCCGTAGTGTGTTGCTCTTTTGCGCGTAGTGTCACTTTCCTGTATCTATGATCTTACAAGGCTTAAAATCAGCAGGTGTATTATGTACGGTATTTCCCATGGCTTTCGTATTTGAAGCCCACAACTACAAATAGCAGCCTTGGGCTTGCTCATTTGGTCAATTTTTTCATGCCAGTATTTGATTCAGGCCTATAAAAAACATTTGGAGAAACACGGAGAGGAGAAGCGCATTGAAGGTCTAGAAGAGTACAACAATGAGCAACTGTTCTTCATGGGATACGCAACGGTAGTGTCTTATAACACCTACCGTTTGTTGTAAATGCCCAAGTGTTCGTGCTTTACAGACCTGGTGCGGTCATCTAACGCAAGATGCCCTTATAAACCTCATTCTCACCGATCCTCACTCTCCAGAACGATATCGGTAAGTTTTTTACATCTGCATAAGGTGAGTAACCTGTAAATGCGTCAGCACAGTCCAGGGCAATATTACCTATATTTTGGTGACATCAACATCCACAAACCATTCACAAACCAGTTATGCTGCTTCTGCTACCTGTTTCTATTGCAATTATGACCATTGGGCAAATATTATTGGCTTTGAAATTGGTTTCTTTCTTTTACAAAATCCTTCACTTGTACGACAAGCGCTCTGAAACGGCAAGGCAGGGAATTCTCAATTCTGTTCCAAGACTAGAAGGTGTTGTTTCAACAGAATCCAAATTTGGACGTCTTGTAGTGCAGGCATTTACTCTCAAGATGGCGCGTAATCAAAAGTACCTTGGGCTGCAAGCTGGGCCCTTCCCACCTGCATCGGCATCATACCGGTGCTGGGACTTCCAATTCGCAACATCGGGGCAGTCGAACAGGGTAGATGCGGAGCCGGCGCCATATTGAATGGGTTGGGTCTTGATTTCGTGGTTTCGCCGCGACTGAAGTAGCGCTCTACGCTCAATTACTCCGGTGAGCGTGATAAGCTGAAGGACGCGAGAAACTCATTGCTAGTAATATTCAAAAAGCAACCGGGCTTTTGCACTATTATGCCACAATGCTCATTGGATATAAGTATCGACTGAACAAAAGACACTCATTGAACTTCTTACATAAAATATTTGCAATTGATCACATTAACGACTATAACACTCATAATATTCAACTTAGTTCCTGTTGTACAGTAAAAGTCTTGTTGACCCTATACTGTGCAGCAGAATGTATACAGTAAAGGGATCTCACACGACTCGTGGAATTCGGTTAATGAAACTTCAGTTTAACCACAATCAAAATGTTATTATCAAAGAAAATAAGTTGCGTACCTCGGTGCAATTCACTCTGTCCTTCATGGTAGCCATATATGCCCAATAACTAGAATATAACAATAATATACTTTTTTAAACACATCAATTTTAGACAAATTAAGCAAATGCGTAGTAACAAGAGAAGAAGTGGTGTAACGGATATTTGAGATTGTGAAACATGAATTTACCATTCAACTTCCATGTGGATTACACAAAGCATCCTTCCTCCCACATAGTAGCCTTTTTTCATCACTCACAGGATCTTTAGGATTTGTGTGATTGCGGACACAACTTTGAGTGCGGCTCGGCACTAAATACGGCGAAAGTCATTACTAGGTCAATGTTGACTGTCTATTACTGGCTTTTTTTGCGATTTTTTCCAGCTATCCTTAATTAGGGCAGATAATATCGATAAATCGCTTCCACCAAATAGCCTCCCTCAAATCCATTACCCATTCTGAATGTAAGCATTAATTGTGATACATTGATGAAATCGCGGAAAGGTCACCTAATTCACGAAATTCTCACACTTTCCTATACCCACCCCAGATTCGCTCTTTCGTTTCTCAGCTACGCTAATTTCACAAGTTTTTTATTCATGCCTGTACTTCGATTCATATTATATTCACACCCTTCTCACTTCTTACTGAAGAATACAGAGGGATGATACGTTCTGTCGTTTAGTTTCCGTATAGTGGCTCGTGCAAACGTAAACTGAAGTATTCTTGCAACCCCTATACACATTTTAGCGTATTAGTTTTGATTATTTTTACATTTTTTCGTTGTAATGACATCTCCCCAACAAAAGTCCGCGAAAAACTTACGACGCACTCAGGAAAAAAATATACACTGGTGTTCAAGCATGCCACTGAATCAAATATAGTGAGGTTGCGAAATCCTGCAGTACTGTGCTCCATCTCACTTTCACGGCTGTCATTCTTTCAGGGTTAATCAGGTGCTCGCCAATCAGCCAGAGTTTGCAGCTGCTTTCAAATGTGCAGTTGGCACTCCAATGAATCCTACAGAACGCTGTGCTGTTTGGTAAATGAAATCACGGGAAAATCACTGCACTTCATTACATATCATAATTGAGTTTGGCTAAACTTGTTTCTATTTATTTGTACAGTGATGTTTGTTTCTTTCTATGACAGAATAGGCTATGAAATTGAAGAACTGTTTCTGATAGTGTTACTAGAATAAATTCGCCTCTACTTTTAGAGAGGAAACGGACTGTGCTCCGTTAGAATTGCCTTACTACAGTCCATTTCCTCCACACTGCGAGTGACTACGGACCTGGAATTGCACGCGGTGGTAGCAGCTAGTTGTCGCTTAGGGTAGGGAGGGGTGATAGGTGCTTGGCATCTTATTGTAAAGCCTTTTTTCTTTTATGCACGCTGTCTACGCTGTTCTGGAACGGCGAGTGTCTACATCAGCCGCGTTCACAATTCACAAGACCCTCTCCATCCAACACTAAAGATATGGACTTTTGAAGGCAGTTGGCACGACAAATCCCTAAGACGAGTAGGATCGATACGCGTGGCAGTACGGGATTCCACGCCTTTGAGCAGGTGCTGCGTAGCGCCTTTTTCAAAAGTGGTACCCTCATAAGGTCCTATCGAGCTGCTACGTACCGAGACGGATGCCCTCCGCGCCTGGCCGTTCACCAATGGACGACCGTACCTGATGGTCATATTGCTTCATCTGCGAAGTATTATAAATTATGAAGCGAAAGATTGTTATGAAGCGTGCTGCATGGATAAAGGGTATCCATGCAGACGTATCTACCGTAGGGTTGTGGGTAGAATGCTTACGGGGAACTCGTCCAAAATTGCTATCTGTGTCATAAAAACGAAGGCTTTTCTTCGCAGGTTTTTGACAGTGCACTTCGTTTTTTCGCCATTTTCCCACTACATAGCGCCATGCTAGCATTTTAGGCCGAGGACCAAATTATCGTGCCATATGCCTTTACTGTGTAAAACATTGTCTCATAATCAATTGTAATGATTTTTCATACGTTGGTAAAGTAATGTTCCGCTTTAATAAATGTTGAAGACATGGTTTTCAGCTGCCGTTCATTTCTAATAGTGGAAACCGAAGCCGATTACTATCCTATCGCCGTCAGTCCGTCCAATACAGTCGGAACACCACTTCAGTGCGGATGGAGGTGTGTCAGAGTGGGATGGGTTTGGGCATCGCCAGTCCGTTTTCTACCAATTGATTTCGCTTACCCCCCCCCTCCCTCGCTGTCATATCCAAAACGGTAGATGAAATTCATCACTTTTGTCACACTCCGCTATATTGATCTCCACCAAGTCACAACTTGCTCGGAGTCATAAGCGACATTTCTCTGAGTTACGTTCTTGTGCGACCTTCCACAGTACGGCGTTGGAATGGCCCGATCGCTCTCGGTTAAGTGACTTCTACTTGTCCATAGAGACCATCTGCCTTGCTTTCGGACCTGTTTAATAAAACCGTACGAACTAGCTATCTAGTCCTTTCACCAGAGGTCCTCACTCTCTCAAGAAAGTATTGCAGTTCGCCGAAAGTTTTTTCATAAAATGACCGTTACTGGAGGGGGAGGGCATATGGGTGCTGTGACTGAATACTTGTGTGTTGTGTGTGTGTGTGTGTGTGTGTGTGTGTGTGTGTGTGTGTGTGTGTGTGTGTGTGTGTGTGTGTGTGTGTGTGTGTGTGTGTGTGTGGTGTGTGTGTGTGTGTGTGGTGAACCATTCATGAGCTTTAGCGCAGGGAGTTTCTTCCTCTCATCGCTGTGCTAACGAGTGAGTCTTCCTGTAGTTAACCGCGAAAGGGAGGATAAAAATCCCCATCATCTGGTTCCACACCCAGCAATGTTTGCGTACTTCACCACAGGTCGGCGTTATACATTTGGAAAATGACACTGCTCGAGATCTTGAAGCTCAGCTGATGATTTCGTTCACAGTCTTCGTGTAGCGGACTTAGCACTTTCTGACTGCCACTCAAACTAATCCCTCAGCGGTCATCTTCTGGGTGAAAAGTGCTATTTTCAAAGGCACTTCAAAAACGACCCGGCAGCCTTTCTCCACACGGAACTAAACGCTACTGGAAAAAAGTTTGAAAATGTCACGAACTTTTGGGACAACGTTATAGAACAGCCGAGCCCAAAGTATAGAACACTGCCACGTGGAAAAGGATGTACCCCAAGGTACCAAATATAATACTTCGGCGCTTCCAACATCAAAACACCGGCACGGCGTAAGCAATTCATCTCAGACTTGGGCGATTAAACATGCAAAGCGATAATATGCGAAATTACCATACAAGCAGCTGCGTGAAGCATAAGGAGTAAGAGATGAAGTTATGAGAGGAAATTCCTAGTGGATAATTGAGAAGGCGAGTAGCAACTGAAATAATTCAAATCGGAATAAAAGGCAGAGTAAATGAGCACGATTATCTATGCTAGAGCAAGCTTACAATTGATCAAACGGGACAAGAAAGAAGATGGAAAAAAACTTGTTAGGTTGTCCGGAAAGTTCTCAGCGTTTTGGTGTTTCACTTTAAACGATCATAACTTTCTTAATACTCATCGGATTTAATCGAAATAAGCACCGTTCGAATCAGCACACTTTTGCCAATGTGACACCAGTCGAGAAATCCCATCAAAAGGAAAAACTGGGTGGTCGAGAATCCACGAATTTTTTTGCCTGGTCCTGATTGATGAAGTATTTTCCAGCAAGGAAGTTCTGAAAATGTTTGAAAAGGTGATAGTCGGTTGGTGAAAGGTCTGGAGAAGGGGTGAGGTAGAACTTCAACCCCAATTCGTTCAATTTATGGATAGTGATTTGTGAAACGTGTGGGCGGGCGTTGTCATGCAAAAGAATCGGACCCTTTCTGTTGACAAGTGCTGGCTGCAGCTGACGCAATTTTCGGTACATTTCGTCGATTCTTCACAGTACAGGGGGGCCAAAAAAAAGTCATTTTGCCTCCATGACTTTCAAGGCGCTATAAGTTACACTTTATTAAATTTTTATCGGACATTTTTACTACCATATTAAAGAGCACATTAAATACTATAATGATACTCCGCCACAGCCTTCTGGAGGAGCGCCATCGAGAGATTCGGCCGCGCGAAGTGAGTGGGTACCGGAGTTGAGCGAGATCGTTGATTTCTCCGCCACTGTAGACCACCCTGTTGAGCTCCGCCCGAACTAGGTAATTGCGAAACGCCCTTTCCATTCGAAGTAGGCGGGAGTTTTTCCAAAACCCTTTGATTCCATGTGGTGGCACCCAAACCTGTAGCAGCACAAGGTCTCCAAGAAGGTACGGGCGACCACATGTAGGGAGGATATCCTTCTCGAGTTACTTGATGTAACCGCCAGCGCTCACCTTCAGTCGGGGTCTACAAAGAAAATATCGGTCTTCCCATTCCAGGTACGGCCGGTCCACACCATCAACCCGCGCCTTGGTGAATGGGGTGAAGATGATGTCCTGGACCGTAGCGACGTTGCCGGAGCTGCTCGATGTTTGAGGTCTTGCAGATCAAGAGTACTGGTCTCCAGGTAGCTATCCATGGGTGATTCCATTCAAGAAGTTCCGCAGCTGTTTGGAGGCCACGTGAATTCCAAAGGCGTTCTCCACTCAGGCCGCGACTGGAGATGACTTCATATTTTGGTGTACATGAAGGTGAATGGCGGCAGCCGGCTCCTGCTTATAGAGGAAGATCTTGGGTATCTTCCGCCCTGGTACTCATATCCACTTCCTCTGTCTGGGCTGCGAAAACTTCGCTCATATGTGACTCGGCCGGAATGACTTTTTTTTGCCCCCCCCCTGTATACCTGCTGTGATGGTGGCCTGGTGACAAAAAGTTGTAGTGGATCACACCAGCCGATGACCACCACACTGTGACCATAATCTTTTTTCGTGAGGATTTGGAATTTGCCTCGGTGGTTCGTCGGCATCCAACCATTGTCCGGAACGTCTCCTGTTATCATACATGATCCGTTTGTTACATACATGATCCACTTTTCATCACAGGTGACAATTCGGTCCAAAAACGGGTCGTTTCTGTTGCGCAAAAGCAGTGAAGAAGAAACCTCGAGACGTGCCAATTTCTGCCGGTCACTCAAATTGTGGGGCACCCACTTGTCGAGTTTTTCACCTTCCCAATGCGTTTCAGACCATCCGCAACAGTGGATTTGCCAACGCCTAGCTTTTCTGCAATCTCTCGAACTGTTTGGGATGGGTCAGCCTCCACAAACGCCTTCAAATCCTCGTCAGGTATTGCTTTAGGTCGACCGCTACGAGGTTCATCTTCAAGGCTGAAATCTCCAGAACGAAATTTGTCGAACCATTGTCGCACGGTGCTTTCTCCAACACTATTGGGCCCCCACACCTGGTTAATTTGTCGAGCTGTCTCGACTGCGGATTGACCCAATTTTTAGTCGAAGAAAAATATCGTCGAAGTTGGGGTTTATCAAGCAATGGTGAAACGGCAATTATACCATCAGATAGCGCAAAAAATTCTCTTCAGGATGTACTACTGAGACGCAAGGGAGAATGAGTTTTTAATCAGCAATGAATGTACAAAAATAGTAACACAAAACGCTGAGAACTTTCCGGACAACCTAATATGTAGGTTGGAAGGAAAGTCTTGTCACTGTTGTGACTTTTTTCTTTTTTATTTTCTAACTCAACATACAGTGGGAATTAGTCAACAATATACTCGTCATAGTTAGCCACTACAGTGCTCCACCTAATGGGCAGGTAAGCATTCCCCCTCTCCCAGAACTGAGGAGGCTGCGAGTCGAGTCGTGACCTCTCGACTGATGTCATCAAAGTTGCTGAAAGTTTTCTTAGCTAAGAAAGCCTTAAGGAGGCGGAGCAGGTAGCAGTCGTAGGGGACTACGTCAGGAGAATATGATAAGCGGGGACTGGTCTCCCAGCCTTGCTCCTCAATATTTGGTAGGTCTACATAGTAGGTATGGGGTCTCGCGTACTACGAACGAGGCCCCCGAAGCTAGTCTCGGTCATTTTTCTCCAACATTTCCACCGATTTCAAGAGTTGAG